CTCTTTACGGGAAGGTTCAAAGTAATCAGGTGTAGGCTTCAATCACTCAAGGCAGCTCTCGTGGAGTGCTACCCAAACTGTATCCAGGCTTTCATCTGCCGTAGCAACTTGCTTGCTTCGTCGCGCGGTAGGTGTCAAGGCGGCACTATCTAGCATCTTTGAACATCTGTCACAAGATATCCCCTTGACAGTCTTGTATGCAGCAATCATGTCCTGAGATAGTCAATATGTGTGCCCATGGTGTCTTTGACGTGCATGTGATGATGCAAACATACCAGCAGATATCTCAAATCGTTTTTATTTGGCCGTGAGGCGATACAACGCGTAATGGCCAAACAGAATTCGGTTGTCCCAAAGCAGTCTGCGTTGAGTTTGTGGCGACCATTTGCTTCACGCTCGATAGTGATGCGAAACTTGAGCATGAAAGAGCTGGCAACGAAACGGATCTACAACAAGGTGAGCGAAATAAAGTATGCAAGTGAAGCGATAACCTTACATGTATGCTGTGGTCATCGTCGTTGGTCTCGACCTTGAGGGTCGGATGCGCCTTCCGAAACTCGACGACTACACGAGATATGTCACTATCCGTAAACACGGCGCCGGCATCCTCGGCAGTTTTGTTCCCGCTCTTGTATGTAGATTTATTTGCTTCCTGCTCCCTTTCGACCCAGCCGTGGGAGGGGACCGAGACGGACTCGGACAAATCGGCATTTGCGCCAAAGCTCTGCTTGGCATGCTCAAATGTGTTCTGTACCTCAGGAAGCTTCCAACGATCCTTGAGCGCATTAAGGCCAGTCTGAGAAGAGAGTACGCCCTGGGCGTATAACTTGTACGTTGTTGAATTCGGAGGTCTGTGAAAGGGCTCGATTATCCGTGGAATAGCGAGGCGAAGGTCGTCTATCTGAAAAAAAGGTCAATTTTTAATCAACTAGACATGCGAACCCATATGTACCTGCGTCTGCAGCTGTTCCAGTTGGGCGAGGGCTGCTGTACACTGCGCTTCGTCCCAGCCCACGCTAGACCCCACCGAAGTGTCGGAAGCTTCCATAGTAAGAATAAAGTCAAAAAGAACGAGCAATGAATGGCGAGCAATGTGCGATGACGACCAAAAACAACACGAAGATGTGGAGTGGTGTAGAATGGTGACGTGAATGGTGGTTGGTGGGTGTTATCCCTGTCGCATTGAAGTTGGAAGACCACGCCAAAACTCACGGACACTCGACAATCGGCACCTCGGATCCACCCCCGTCGTCCTTCTCCACACATGGACGCGTTTTCACGTGCTCCGCATTCAAATCCAAACAGGGCAATCCGCCTGCATCAAGTGTGCTCTGCATGATGATTCCAACTGATGAATACAATCCAAACTCCAATGCGCTTCTGAAAAAACGCCTGTGTACAATACAAACATACATGCCCATGGCCATCTATAATTTTGACTGTTCTCTAACGACTTTTTCCTTTGGCCCGACAAGCGGATCATACACGTTCAAGCCCAGCGTATCTTGCGGCACAGGTGCCGTGTGCATGCTCAGTCCCCTAGTATCAAGCATAGAAGGATTCAAGTCGGCAATGCTTGAAGCCCCGATCAGGCGCATGTTCATTTCCATTTCATCTTTCAACAATTGCATGGCGCGATCAACACCTGGCAGGCCATACGCCGACATGGCGTAAAGAAAAGGACGGCCGATACCAACGCCCTTGGCGCCCAGTGCTACAGCCTTGATGATGTCTGTTGCTCGTCGCACGCCACCGTCAATGTATACCTCGATGCGGTCTTGCCATCCGCGTGCGCGAAGAACTGGCATGACTTCAGCGAGAACTTCTACACCAGAGCGGGCGAACTCAAGCTGACGACCACCATGGTTGGAGAGGACAACACCGTCTACGCCAACCTCGACGGCGCGGATGACATCCTCGACGCATTGCACGCCCTTGAGAATGATGGGCATCTTGGTGATGCTCCTGAACCACGGGATGTCCTTCCAGCTCAGGCTCGGGTCAATGAAGGACGAGATGGCCCGTGCGGCGCCCTGACTGCGGTCCACATTGTCGCCGCCGGTGCTCTGGACATTGCTGCCAACGTCGTCGAACTTGCTTCGCATGTCTTTCTCGCGACGGCCGAGCTGTGGAGCATCCACGGTGATGAAGAGGCCTTTGCAGCCTCGTCTCTCGGCATGCTGCACGATGCGCTTGGTGACTTCGCGGTCCTTGTTGACGTAGAGCTGGAGCCATTGGCATTGACCGTCTTTTGCTTCATCGACAATCTCGTCGAACGAGCACGATGCCAATGTAGGAATCATCTGGATCACGTTGTGCTTGTGTGCGCCGCGCGTGAGGACGACCTCTCCCTCTGGGTTTCCTAGCTTTCCCAGTGCGGTGGCGGTGACGTAGAAGGGTATGTCGCACTTTGTGCCGAGCATGGTGGTGGAGATGTCGACCTTCTCAACATCGAGGAGGACGCGTGGTCGGAACCAGATCTTGTGGAACGCACTGTGGTTCTCGCGCATTGTCTGTGCAAGGACTGGGTCAGCGTACATCCGGGCTGGCAAAGGCCTCAAGCAGACTCACAATCTCATCATCAGCACCGCTCGAGTAGTACGCCCATGCCGACTTCTTCATGACGTTGCGGGCGACGGCCTCAAAGTCCATGAGGTTGTAGCATTGCTCGAGAATGGGCATACGCTCAATGCGCTTCTGTCTCTCTTCCTCGTCGGGATCGAATTCCTTGGTCTCTTGCTGCACCGTCGCCATGTCGACCTCGCCCAGATGCTTTGACTTGTCGAGGTACTTGTCGAGCGTGTCGGGCGGGTGAATTGGTTCGTAGGCCTCGGTGGCGTCTTTGCCGGCATACTTCAAGATGATCTTGGAGCCGCCGGGGTGCTCAGGGAGGAATTCGGTGACATCGTAGGCGCGGCCGTGGACAATGACCCAGCACGAGTCGCTGTTGTTGTGCGAGGAGACCTGCTCGCCGGTGAGCTTGTTGCGCTGGGTGTTGTTGCTATCGTGGTTCATACTGGGCAGTGGATATGAGGTCAAGACTTGCCCAGAGACGGGGAAAAATATATGGAGATTAGCTAGCCTATGTCCATGCACCAGGGTCGGTCGGGTGAACGGAAAGCCGCGGATGTCGACGGCGGTGTAGACAAATACCAGGAATGTGTATGGAGGGTATATGTATGAACGCATGTCTCCGAGACTAGCCCTGCTAGCTCGGCCCATCTGTTCCCGCACATAGTCCGGGTTCGCAGCGAGCACCCTGGCGCGGTCCTTTTTTTTCTCTCCACGGGCACTGCACGTGTGCATCCATGCATGTACGTGCTTACTGTATACGTACGTTTGCATGTCTGTACATGGAGTACGTACTGCCATGTGTACGACGTACTCTGGCCGCCGCGCCGAAACGCGGGGAAGACACAGCGGGCTGGGCATGACGCGCACCATTGTTGGCTTGCCCCAATGCCCTAACACTGCCTTACTGCTCTCAACAGCACAAATACAGGCGACGGGGCCCTCCCCCCTTCTCTTCGTGAGCGTCACCCGGCAGCCTCCACATACAGCCAATGTCTCCCATCGCCCACCAGTCTCGTTTGCCCACCCGCGTCATATTGGCCAGCGCCGGCCGTCACATGGTGCTGCTAGCCAAGACAAGGGCCGCAAGCGCCAAACGGTGCGGGAGGCCTGTGTGGTCCATATGTCATTTGTCTCTGGCCCTCTGGCCTAAAATGTCCCCAGGCTGCTTCTGCGCGCCTCTGCCTCTGTCGACGACGGCACACGCTCTGCTCGCCATGCCACTTGCCCTGCTACCGCAACCACCGCAGCCTCACTCGCCTCTCCTGGCCCGGCCCACCGTCTGCCGCTGACCCACCCCCACCCCCGTCACACTCCCCCCGGGCCCCGTCCGTTGCCTCTCGCCTCTCCTCGCCAGCCCGCCATGTCCAACAGCCTCGAGGCTAAGATTGTGGTTCTCGGCAGCCAGGGCGTGGGCAAAACCTCGCTCGTCCACCGCTACGTCAAAAACGCCTTCACCCCGCCCACTACACAGTCGACCGTCGGTGCCTCCTTCCTAACAAAGAGAGTCGTCGACATCGACACTTCCACCGTCGTCCGCCTGCAGATTTGGGATACGGCAGGCCAGGAGCGCTTCCGCTCCATATCCAAGCTATACTACAGAGGTACGCGGCTGCTTCCCCTCTACCAAACCTCGTTTAAGGGAGAGAGAAAAAAGAAAGCAAGACAAACACAAAAGGGCCAAAACTGATATCGACCACAGGTGCAAATGCGGCAGTCTTGTGTTATGACATCACAGATCCTCAGTCTTTTGACGAAATGGGCCGTTGGTTCAAGGAGCTCAAGACGAACCTTGGAGACGACGCCATCCTGCACGTAGTAGGCACAAAATCCGACATCATCGCCGCAGACCCCACAAAGCGCAAGGTCCCCTTTGAACGCTGCATCGCCTATGTTGCAGAGAACCTTTACCCCGCACAGACCGCACAACCGCACAGTGCTCAGTCAAACGGCTGGGGCTCCGTGCCTGCGACATTCCAGAGCGGCTCCATGGCTTCTCCTCAGAGCAACAGATCCAGCGGCTTCTGGGGACAAGACCTCGGCTGGGACTGTTGTCACGAGATAAGCGCAAAGGATGGCGAAGGCGTGGATGAAGTCTTCCGCGTCATCACTCGCAAGCTGGTTGAGCAGGAGCAGAAGAAGCTCGAAGAGGAGCAAAGACAACTGACCATGGCTGGTGTCACCCCAGCCCTGGACAACAACGGCAACGTGACAGGATACTTTGATTACCCTGGCGCTGGTAACGGTAGTTTCCGCCTAGGCGCCGCCGATAAGAGGCGAAGCTGGCTAGGTTTTCCCACTACGCCCGGTGCCACTGGCCACCAACAAGAGTGGGAAGAAGACATCAACCGGGCACAAAAGAGTAAGAGTGGAAGATGCTGCTGATCATATCTCTGCCTTGTCTCGTCGTCTGCCAACCTCTCCATTAACCCCCCCCCCCCCCATCTCCTGCACACAGCGAGCATACCGATCAGCTTCGTTTCGAGATACCCGCTCACCCTTTGTTTCCACGACTCAGTGCTCCAGTGTGTTATTTCTTGCCGTCAAGCTGGCCTTCTTACATCCGACTACTCTCTGGCTTCTGTTATTTATCTCTCTTGGCCCTCTGTTTCGGCGTACAAGGTAGCATTTGCATAGCCAAGTACCAGCGAGCGTGCATTGATTTCGAGTTTCAGAAACTCTCATCTTTCCTAGTCAGTTTTCTTGTCTCATGAATAGCTTCATTTCATAGATTGATTAACGTCAGGTATCTTGCATTTTAATGTAACTCCAGCAATAGTCTATCAATTTCTAAATGTTTAAACATGCAGTCATGAGGCGCGTGTCTGTTGCCTGCACAAACTTGTCCAGTCTTACACAAACATGGCAGTGGCCCAAAGTAGTGGCATCTTTAGCTATGCCCCGCTTGGTCGAAAACCTTCTTACCAAACTTCCAGACTTGCTCTACAGCAAACTTCTTGTCCGTACCGACGCCTTCTTGGAGATCCAGTACTACAAGATCCGCATCAGCACCTTCGTTGAGCGTTCCTTTCACATCCTGCACACCCAACATCCTTGCTGGTGTCTCGGTGACAGCTTTCAGTGCCTCTGGTACACTGGCCCCTGTCCAGTTGATAAAGTTTGTAACGCAGTCTATGAGTTGGATACTGCTTCCCGCAATCTTTCCATTCTCCTCGAGCGTGAGCATAGACCCTTGTTTGATGATACGCGACCCGTTTGTCCAGTCATATGTCCCGTCCGGCATGCCCGCTAGCCGCATAGCATCAGTGACGAGTATAAGGCCTTCGGGATGTGCGTTCCACGCAATCTTGATAGATGTGGGGTGGAGATGAATGCCGTCGGCGATGATGCCAAAGTACGGCTTCTGTATCGAAGAAGATGGCGTGCCCAGAAGACCGAAGATGCCCGGGTTCCTGTGATGTAGGGGTTGCATGGCGTTGAACAGGTGTGTTATCATGCTCGCGCCCGCCTTGATGCCCGCCTTTGCTTCTTCGTACGTCGCTTCCGAATGCCCAATGGACACGACGATACCACGCTCTGCCAGTGGCTGTACGCACGCCAGGGCGCCTCGAAGTTCTGGCGCAAGCGTTATAAGCTTGACAGATGACGAAGATTGCAAATGACTAGCGCCATAGCATGTCTCCATGTCAGAGACGCCGTTCTCGGGCTCACAGAGGAGGGATGCGTTGTGGATGCCGTTTTTCGTGGGATTAAGAAAGGGCCCTTCGCAGTGGGCGCCGAGCGATTCTGAGCCAAGGGATGCATCGCGGGCAGTACCAGACGGACCCAGGAACGGTAGAGCCGTTTGGTAAACTTCGGGTGGTTGTGAGGTCAGTGTTGGTAGGTATGATGTGACACCCGTCGACACCAGTCTTCGGTTGACTTGGAGCACTCCCTTTCCGTACGCCACTGTGCCCTCGTCTGGTATGACGGAGAAGTCAAAGCCATATGCTCCGTTGAGCTGTGTATCTATCAGGCCTGGGCAAAGGATACGGCCACCCAGGTCGACAATCTCGTCTGGCGCAGTTCGATGTTCGTAGAGCAGCTCCTGCCCATTTATGATCTTCCCGCTTGTAGAGCTGACCCAAAGGTCTTCATCAACAAGAGCATTGCCTCTAACCAGCAAGCAGTTGGTGAACTTGATGACGCCAGAGGATTCATGTGGATCTGCAGGGGCAGAGGGCATGGGGACGATTGAAGGCATGGCAAGTGAAAAATGGAGCAAAGATCAAAGGATTGATTGGTTGTGCGCGGTTGAGCAGACTCAACACCCTTCACAAAGAAAACGGCGGCTCTCTTGCTACTTTATCGCGAGCACTTGTTCGCCAGTGACGCCATTAGCCCATCAACAGCGGGCTAAGTTGCCCTTGGGAAAAGTCTACATGGACGCATGTGATGCGCACGCTGCCCGTCTGCACACGCTGAGTGGATACACGGAGCGAAGGAACGCTGCAATGACTACACCAACCCGATCGGTTCTACCATGATAGTTTCGGAAGGACTACGGGGTTGTGTGAGGTGTCATCGGAGTTGCATGTCGTTGATAACAGAGGGACCAGGGTAGTGTAACGATGCGCAAGGGCGTGTGGCTAGCGGCTCGCTAGCTACTTACCCCAGCTCACGTCGACGTGAATGCTACGGTGCCATCTTCCCCATCGTTCTGTCCACCGACCGACCGAAACTCCATTTGCCAGCCGCGCCCAAGAGCCGGTGCGCCGCGGAATCCCACGTCGCATCCACAGTCCGACGCGACGCGCCGGATATTGTCATCATGGCCAAGATTGAGCAGATGGATCCTGTATGGGATGATCTCGACAGGTGAGCATCGTGGCACGCTCTCACTCTCGACATGCACTACGCACCCAAGGACCCTTGCTAACCACTGTTCACCATGCAGAACAATGGTAGGCTGTTTCCACTCAACCGTTGCTGTCGCACTCGCTGACTTCGGGCCATGCAGGGCCAGTTGTTCATGATGGGCTTCGATGGCACGTCGGTGACTCCCCACATTCGTACCCTTATCGAGGAGCATCACGTTGGCTGCATCCTGCTGACTGCCAAAAACCTCAAATGTAATATCACGTGCTTTGATGTGACCTCTCTCTCTGCGTGCCAAGCTCCTGCTGATACAACACAGCCGCCGAGGACACAACAAAGCTCATTTTTGAATTGCAAAAGATTGCTCATGATGCCGGTCATCCTGTTCCGCTGGCGATTGGTATCGACCAGGAAAATGGCGGAGTCAACAGTCTCTTTGACGACATCTACATTCGCCAGTACCCCAGCAACATGGGCATGGCAGCGACCGGATCCACTGACCTAGCATTTGAAGTCGCAAAAGCAACTGCACAGGAAATTGCCGCCTGTGGTATCAACTGGATATTCGGCCCATGTCTCGATGTACTCACTAATGCACGTAACCAGCCCTTGGGCGTCCGAACAGCCGGAGACGACCCCCAGGAAGTGTCTGCCTTTGGGTGTGCGTTCATGCAGGGCTACAAAGAGGGCGGAGTCGTAACACTGGGAAAGCATTTTCCATCTTACGGCAACCTAGAGTTCTTAGGCTCCACGCTTGATGTGCCCATCATCACTGAGTCATTAGAGCAACTAAGCCTAAGTGCCTTGATCCCATTCAAGAAGGCGATTGAAAGAGGCCTTGACTCTATGATGGTTGGTGGTTGCGCCATGTCTTCAGCCGGACTGAATGCTATGCACGCTTGTCTCTCCGAGCAGGTCGTCGATGATCTACTCCGCAAAGATCTGAAATTTGACGGCGTAGTCGTCTCAGAATGTCTTGAGATGGATGCTCTCAGTCACAATATTGGTGTTGGCGGTGGAACCGTCATGGCTGTCAACGCCGGTTGCGACGTGGTCCTTCTTTGTCGCGCCCTCTCACTGCAACTAGAAGGCCTAAAAGGCCTCAAGACTGGGATTGAGAGCGAGATGGTTTCCAAGGAACGCATCTTTAACTCGCTGAGGCGCGTGTTAACCATGAAGAAGAAGTGCACGTCGTGGGAGAAGGCGTTGAACCCTCCAGGCATCAACTATCTCGAAAAACTCCAGCCTCTGCATACTGCGCTCTCCACCAAAGCATATAATAGCTCCATCACAGTCGTACGCGACAAGAACAGGCTTCTCCCATTGACCAATATTCTCGACAGCGAGGAGGAACTCCTTCTACTGACTCCTTTGGTGAAGCCCTTGGCTGCATCGGCTGCATCTCGAGCCATATCTGATGCTGCCAATGGCGCGGCTAGCCACTCTCCAGGGCCAGCTTCCTGGGATCAGAATTCATCTGTTATGAGCGGAGAACGAGTTTTTAGGGAGCTGGGTCGCTCTCTGGCGAGACAGCGTAACGGACGACTGTTGCACACGTCGTACACAGCAAACGGTGTTCGTCCAGTTCACGAGAATCTCATCAGCCGAGCAAGCGCGATCATTGTGCTCACTGCAGACGCCAATAGAAACCTGTATCAGCATGGATTTGCCAAACACGTCTCTATGATTTGCAACATGCAATACACGACTGGCGGAGAGAGACGTGAGAAGCCTTTAATTGTAGTTGCTGTAAGTTCACCGTACGACTTTGCCATGGACAACACGATTGGGACGTATATCTGTACCTATGATTTTACCGAGACTGCGTTAAATTCGCTGGTACGAGTCTTGTATGGAGAACTATCGCCCTCAGGAACACTGCCTGGTACGATTAGCAAAAGCCAAAAACTACACCCGTCGAAACAGCACTGGCTGGTTGAGATCTTCAATGAAGAACGAGACGGCAGTGCTTTGGATACACTGATTGCAGCCGTTGTGGAAAGCACGGCGCCAAATCAACGATCTGAGCTTTCAAGCGCAACATCAAGCTCGTTCATCCTGCACCACCCAGAGGTGGAGGAGTCGCATTTTGTTGTCCGTAATAGCAGTACCCAAGCACTGTATGGCTTCTGCTCGACATACTTTTTCAAAGCTACGGGAACTGGAGTGATTGGGGCATTGTTTGTGGATCCAGCAAGGAGAAAGCTCTCGATTGGACATTCGCTACATAATAGAGCGATACGAACTCTGCTGCAGAAGGAAGGCATCAAGAGATTTCAACTGGGATCTCGTCTTCCAAGTATCTATCTCGGCATCCCAACAGGACACGGCAACGAGCGAAAGCGCCTACGGCCATGGTTTGCGCAACTGGGATGGGGCGCGGCACTGTCACGGCCCGTGTGCAACATGGTTGCTCGCAATCTTCAGACATGGAGTCCACCTGCAGGCATGGCCAAGAGCCTAGCAAGTGCAGGAGCACAGTTTGACCTTGTGTATGGGTGGGACTACGCCGGACCGGTGCTGGACCATATCAAAACCAGTAACCGACAGGGGCTGGCAGAGGTATACAAGCTCGCCCTCACTGATCCGACGGCGTGTGGAATTATTCGGGCCAAGCGGCCGGAAGATGGTGCGCTGGTGGGCACGGTTGTGCTGTACAACAATCAGTCGCGTCTAGCCGAGTACATTCCTTCGCTCAAGGATCTCAACGAGTCGGCTGGTGGCATTTCATCGCCGGTGATATCACCTGGTGTTGGAGAGTACTCGACACTACTGCAAGGATTGATACTTCTTGGGATGCGACAGATCAAGCAGCTAGGATGCAACGCATGCTTGCTCGACTATGTGAGTACATGCCCGTTGGCGCGGTAGGACAGAGATACTGACCAAGGGCAGATGGATGGAGATGGCAATTTTGACGGCTTCT